GATCTTACCAGTTTAAGATGGGTGATATTAACATTCGTTGATGATCGTTCACTGACCGGCTGACGATGGCTAATAACTCAGAACTGGCCGTTCCAGTCTCCCTCGTATTTGCCGGCAATACAATCAGCCTATAATGCCAGATCTTTCATTGCTGAAGAGCTTATGTTCAGCCGCCTGAACTTTGTTTTTTTCCCATTGAAGTATATAGGATACCGAAATGGAGAATAAGAGTGGTATAGCACAAGTCACTTCTCCCTCTCCACAATGACACGAGAGGACAGGGTTGTAAGTGAGTTATCTCATTCCCCAAAACACCAGACTTTAGTTTAAACTCTTCAAAGCCTCCGCCAAACAATAACGTGAGTTCAATAATCTTTTCGACTTCCGAGCGTCCATCTTAAAGCACGTGCATCTGACTATGCACAGGAATCTCTCCTAAGGGAATTGGGTAGCAGCTGATTTAGGGAAAAGGTATGGTATACAGTCAGAGCATACAGTATGCGAATAAACTGCTGACAACACTAGCAAAGAAAACTACTCACCAACGTTGACTCAGGGAATCCCTTTGTTTGTCCATTCCGATTAAGCGTGTACTATTATTCGCGAGCCTCCCATAGATAAACTTCTCCCAGCTCTCGGCCAACAACTCCGCCTTATGTTCATAAAAAAGACAAAAGTTAATTGTTAACAGTAGCAAAAGGGGGATTTTTATGAAGCAGATAGAAAGAGGAAACACCGATTTTTCTCGTCCGACCTTTCCACTTCACTCCAGAGCCCACTCTTAGCAACAACTGCAGATAAATTTAGTGGATGCACACAGCTGAACGTATTTTGCGGTTACTAGTCAGCTCCTGCCGTAATCGCAGATAATCGTACGTTGGCGTAGCTAGGACCTGACCACCCGTATCCAAATCGCTCATTGTCATGATTTCACGCCAAATAGGGGTTAGAAGCCCTTGTGACTACCGATGCACACGTGCTTATTTAACTTGTAAAGGTTAAATCCTAGCGCAGCGCTTGTTGATGAACTGCGGGCCAGTGGATTGTTACTTAAGCAGTTCCAGACATAAGTTAGTGTCTTCTTCCATCAAGAGTTTATCGCGCCAATCACCCACACCACAGCTAAAATCGCGGGAATTAACGAATAGGACGCAGACTGCCAAGACCTCATCGTATTGCTTTCGACCCCCCCCAGCGATGATCACGATTGAGCTGCCTGTTGTGGTGTGCATATGGTCTGGTGGCCACGATGTGCCATTAATTCTGCGCACTTTTGTTTCCATCAGCTTTATCTGATGATGGGTTTGAGCGAGCAACCGAAACTTCAAAGCTATAAACTTCCTGTTCAAAAGGATCACACCTTCTCCTTCTGAGTAACTGAAACATCGACCATACCCTTACTTCTAACCTCATCTTAACTTACCTCAAATTTATTATAAAAGTCCCTTGTATTACATGCGTTGCCTGCCTTCATTTCCTGCCACAAAGATTCCATGTGAGCAATTTCTACTGAAATTGCGAAACGCAGTTAGCAGGATTGCAAGTTAATAGTCCCGGTTAGCAGATAGTTAGGCAAGCACAGCTGAGTTACTGTAGACGGTTTAAACAAAGATAGCGCACTAGCAAGGGAATAGTTCAATTGAACTAAGTATGAAAGATTCGTGGTCTCGGTGGGATTCGAATCCACACAGAAGGTAAGGCTTTGGTACAGCCAACTTTCTACCATTGCGTTACAAAGACACGCCAAAATCCTGCCTGGGCAGTCGGTCTACTGCATCCGCAATGGTGAATTCCCTACGTGCAGTAGGCTGGGCAAGTAAATCAGTCGAAGTGTGGTTAAATTCAAAGCTTCGGCGTGCCTTCGTAGCTCAATGGAAGAGCGTTTGCTGTGTGGGTTCATAGCCCACCGAGGCCACCGCATTCAAATCTGCCAACTCCCCCCAATAATCAAGTGCATACTTTAGTGTGAGAGATGGTTTTAGTCGAAAACAGCGCACTATCCAGTTAATGCTTTAGTGGACGTTGTGTTTGCGAAGGTTACTTACCGCCAAGTTGACTACCGGCAGCTGGCGCATGTGTGCTGGTAGTATTTTTGAGATAGGTCGATTGGTGGTGGTTAGCAGGGCCTTGAATCCGCCATCGCCGAACAGTTCCCAACCAATATCACGGCAGGCCTTCTCCGCCTGCGCCCAGCCACGAAACTCTCCGGCTTGGATTTTTCGCGGGTATGGGGCCAGGAAAATCTGGCATATTCAGAACAGATAGAAGTTAGAAACGCGCCATACTTGCCGCTGGTTGGGGTAAACCAGAGTGTGCCATTTTTTGTAAGATAAGCATGCGTACTGTTATGAAGTAAGTAGACATTTACGCGAAAAATAAATTGTTTGGGGAGGTTAATTTTGCGCTGGTATGGCGCGATTAAAATCTGGTAGATTCAGGACAAAAAGAAGAAGTAGGAAACTCGCCAATAGGAGGCGGCATATGTAATAAAGCCGCGGAGTCATCAGTAGTTGGTATTGACACCAAAGACATTTTTCTTCTGATGTTACCAAAATATAAGATTTTTGCCTTCCCGATGTTTTTTTCAATCCCTCAAGGAAAACAAAGAGACGGGGGCGCAAGAAAAGGGAGTCTTTGTTGCGTACCTAGTACAGGATATTGAAGCAAGTAAGCGTTACAGGACCGGACCAATCTAATGGTGTCCTCGAGCGAGTAGCGTCTTAAATGGCTTTCCGATTCATTCGAGTGGCATGATAGAGCCCTAAGCCTAGCCGCAGCTGTGCGTTGCGTCAGGATATGCTTCGTGTGTGAACGGATCAGTAGCGTGGTACGAGAGGGTCTCGCCAGGGCTGCATGCAAACAAGTCGGCTAAGGCGGCTCCTAACAGTTTTTCCATTGGAAATACTGGCTATTTTAAAGAACTGACTATTGTTGTCAGGGATCGAATGCCTGTTTATTTGATCTATATCCTAATCTTCGACGTAGATGTGATGCTATAGCATTAGAGACAAAGTCGAATCAAACGCCGCAAAGGAAGCACAACTGGCGGATTCGTCAGGATACTCTTATTTTTGCTCCGCCCAATCGGGTTTTAAAAGTTGATTGGTTCACCAAGATTGGCGCTATGTTTGTCTGCCAATCAGCCTTTAATTACGCACCACTTCGCGCCATCTGGTCCCCACAATAAAAGACTTTTGTTGACAGGGGGTGCAGCTAAATACGTGAGCGGGTGCCTTGTACCCAGACCTGCCCAGCGGAGTGTTTGATACGACAGAACCAAACGCCTATTTCTGGCTTTTTAATGTCGTTAGCCAGTCTTTTTGCCTCGCAGGGTATTAGTGGAAAGTGAACCTTTCTGTTAGGAGTGTAGCCTGACCAAAGGCTAGCAACCTTACGGGCTCTCCTGAGACGTCTTTCCTACCACCGACTGCAACTGTGATTCCTTTGTCAACATTAGGGCTGCCTTCAAGATCATATGCCTT